TACAGTTCAGAGGTTTGGTCTACTGCCATTATGGCAGGAAGTATGGCAGCATGCAGGCAGACTTGGTATTTGAGAGGTAGCTGAGAATTCTACATATAGATTGGTAGGGGGCAAAAATAAAGAGTGACACTCGGTCTTCTTTGAGCTTCTGAAACCTCAAAGTATAACCCTAGTGACACACTTATTCCATAAAGGCCACACCTACTTCAAGAAGGCTCTACCTCTTAATAGTACCATTTCATATGGGTCAATGGAAGTAATTTTCATTCAGGCCAACACAGTATGGAAGCCTGATAAATAATATCATAGCATGGTGACCATAAGCAGCATCAATAGTGATGAAACATATTGGAAATAGGTCTGTTGATATAATGTGCTGGAGATTACACTTATCTCATGATTGTCTTCCTTAAACCCACAAGGCCCGAACCATCTTTCAATACTCATCAGAAATCATCTTTTGAGAGACACTTTCCAGAATATTTGAATATTTTGTTTCAAAATTATAAAGGTCATAAAAAAGAAAAATTTGATAAAGTATCACGGCCCAGAATAATGTAAACACACAAATAAGTGTAGTATGAGGTCGTGGAGCAGAAAGAGGGAACATTGTTAAGATTATAAAAATCTGAAGGAAACATATATTATAATGGATTACCAATATTGGTTTATTTACAAATGTATCATAATAATAGATTAATATCAGAAAAACTTGATGTGAACATTTGTGAACTCTGAGCTCTCTTCACTTTTGCAGTAAGTGCATTTTCAAACAAAGAGTAAAAAACATTCAGTGTAATTCAACTAAGTAATGCATGGGAGGGAAAAAAAATCACAATTGTGCCCCCAAAACGTTTGATAAAATGCAAAATAATCTTTCATATGCAGACCCTAGTCTTTCTCATTTATTTTCAAATTTATGTGTTTAGGTATTTGAGAAGTGTGTGTGTGTGTGTGTGTGTGTGTGTGTGTGTGTGTGTGTGTGTGTGTGTGTATCCTGGCATGGACACCATAGTGTGAGTATGGAGGTTAACAGAAAGCTTTCAGGAACAGGCTGTCTCTTTCCACTGTGAGTTCCAGTGATAGAACTCAATTCATGAGGCATGAACTTCAAATCTTATTACCAGCTGTCCATCCTCTAGATATTATTTTTAATGTATGTGTAAATACGTTGTGTTAGTGTGGATATAGATCCTGAAACTATAAAGGGGACCACAAAGTAGGAGAAGAAATGTGTTGAGGAAGAAGATGGGTAATAGAACACATGTGACATCAAAAGAAAAGAGGCTGCTGAGACTGAGAGGGAAGTCTAGGGAGAGCAAAGAGGTAAAGGAAGGAAGGAGGATCAACAAAACTAAATTAAGTTTGAAAATGTCAGAATGAGTGATGTTATGGTGGTGCACTCCTTTAATCCCAGAACTTGGGAGGCAGATTGAGGAGTTTGAGGCCAGCCTGGTCCGCAGAGTGAGTTCTTGGACAGGCAGGGATGCACAGAGAAAACTTTTTTTTTTTCCAAAAAAAGTCATAATTAAATCTATCAGTTGTATGGTAATTAAAAATAAAGTAAACTGATTCTTAATAATTCTTTATTGTAACCAAAACCCAAATGCAGATAAAGGGTGAAATACTGATAATAAAGATATGAAAAGTTTTCCTGATAACGAGGAAAATGCTTCTTTTGTGATTTATATTAATCACTAGTCTGAGAGTCTGGTAATAAGCCAAATAGGTCATGGAATGAGGAATGGCAATGTAAATGTATATATTTCATTACTCACACAAAAAAGTGTTTTAAGCAATAAAAATAACGAAGTTAATGTAACAAACTGCTGACTTCTAAAACCAACATTTAAAACTAAGTGTGTCTCTGTGAAACAGAAAATTTAAAGTGATAGAAAGATAGCAACTGATAACATTTTCAGAAAAATCACAACATCAACTACAGGAAAAGATATCTGAAGAAGTATTAACAAGCAGTGTTGAAAGGAAATAAATATTATCAAACAAATGAGGTAATACATTCAGATTGATACATTTACTTCTGCATGAATGTTCTGCCTTCCTGAAATTTACTTAAAGGTCCAGTTAAAAAATGTTTCAAATCCAAAATTGACTCATTTTTATTTTCAAAATTATTAATCTTTTTTCAAGAATTATTTAGGATTTACAACTGAAAAGAGTTGGTGGTTAGCTCAGTGATAGTATGACTTTCTAGTACACGCTGGTTTCAACCATCATCACAGAAAAAAAGAAAGGAAGCAAGGGAAGGGGAGAGGGAAAGAAAAAGACAAAAGGAGAGTTTCTTGAGGTAGATTAGTGTGACTGTGTGAGTTGTATGACCAAATCTGAGGTTCTATTATAAAATTACAGCATAAAATTATATTCATTGTTGTGCACAACTATAATCCCAATAGTCAGGCTTCAGAGGTGGGAGTGTTGTGAGGTCTAACCCAGCCTACTCCACAATGCATGATATCATCAACAATAGTAGCCACTCAAATTACATTGTATTGACAAATGACAGAGACTATCCCACATACTCCATTTAGATGTGACAAAGGCAAAGTTCTGTGACGTATGACCCAACGATCACTGTTTGACAGTTAAGAAAGCCTTATCTACTCAATAGCTCCTGGCAGGTCTGTTGAACTTCATGATGGAAAATCCTGAGTCCTTTTCAGACAAACACAGAAGATATTTCTAGGTATTGCTCATCTGTAAACCAACCAACCAACCAACCAACCAACCAACCAACTAACCAATCAATCAACCAACCAACCAACAAAATAAAAAAAAATAACAAAAATCAAAGCTTCTTGAATATAACATAACAGTGTCATTATAATTTGTGGGAAGTTGAAAAGTCAAAATTAAATGCCAGAAGTGCTTGCCAAGAAAATAATCATTGATGAAGTAATTTTCATCAAAATTAAAATACTTTTGTCAAAATATAGTGTTTACTCAGTAGAGGACCATTATATAAAACAGTCAATAAACTTTTATGTAGGACAAAGTAAGAAACAAAACATTTAAATACCTATTTCAGAAAGGAAGATATTGAAACAACCAGTTAGCATATGAAGTGGTCATTGGCCATAAAAAAGTACTATTTCAAATAATCAGGCAAAATACTACCTAATTTCAAGTTAAAATCCAGTTTTAAACAGTCTATTCAGAATATTCTTACTAAATGCTAAAGTTGAATGGAGACATCTTACTCTTAAGCACAGAGTTAACAAGATGCATAATTTTGTCTACATATGAATGGTTATAGTAGCATAATTTCTTTTTTGTTTGTTTGTTTGTTTTTTCGAGACAGGGTTTCTCTGTGTAGTTTTGCGCCTTTCCTGGAACTCACTTGGTAGCCCAGGCTGGCCTCGAACTCACAGAGATCCGCCTGGCTCTGCCTCCCGAGTGCTGGGATTAAAGGCGTGCGCCACCACCGCCCGGCAATAATTTCTTATATATAAACTTCAAAGCTAAGGAGCTATAAGGAGTTAAGAGAAAAAAATAAATCTCAGAATATACTCATGCATTCAGAAAATATTAGTATTATTATGGATAGTTCTTTTCAGAGACTAACCTACGTAGAGGGCAGAGTTTATTTTATTTTACTCAGTTTTGCGATTTTGTCTTCCTACAAAATTAAGGCTGGTCTCAGGCTCCTGAGCCCAGGTGATCCTTGTGTGTAAGCCTCCTGTGAACAGTGATTATAGCCACATGCCACCATTCCTAAATAAGAAACTTAACTTTATACTTGAACTTGACTTTCATTGAAAATTAGGAAACATTTGATTAATTGGCACTGTTTATATGGCATATTACTATCCAAATTCACATATGAGCTCCACTATCATGCAAACAGCTTGTGAACTTCAGCTGATAAACATCTGATGGTAGACTTACTTTGTTTGTTTCTTCCCATATAGGAAATTCTTTATTTCATAAAACATTTCTCAGTTTTCTTTTAATGACTTTGATGTGTTGCAGTAAATCTAGCTTGTGAATGTAGACCATTGTATGAATCAAGTATTCTGCTGATAACTTAGGCATTCCAAATACATTTTTGGGTTCAGTGAAGACTTGATTCTGGTGTATACAAATTCATCCTCTTTGATATTATGAATACTACTATATGTTCTTATCATGCATTGATTTCCATTTAGAAGATTCTCACATTAATTTTTATTACATGTATTTGTGTGTGTGTGTGTGTGTGTGTGTGTGTGTGTGTGTGTGTGTGTGTGTATGTGTGTTTGGGGGGTTGTAATCACACCATTGCATGCTTGTGGAGGTCAGAGGACAATTTTCAGAAACTGGTTCTTTTGTTTCACTGTATGGGTCCTGGGAATAGAACCCCAGTTGCCAGGCTTCATAGCAAGTGCCTTTCCCAGCTGAATCAAATCACCAGACTCAATATTCTTACTCTCTACCTGAATTTTCTATGACTTAAAGTTAAGAAAATTTCTAGTTCATTAGTATAATTAGTATAATTTCTACAATAAAATAAGTAGACAAGTTCAACCTTGTTACATTTTTTCAAATTTGTAATATGTTATAATGTCTGTAATTGATGGTTGATGAACTGATTATTGGTGGTTGCACTCAGAGGACTGACACCCATATATTTGTTGGTCTATATATATGCATTTGATAAATTAGGAGCTTGGTATTTGACTTGTGTTTTAGAAGTAAACATCCATGAAATACAATTCTTTAAACTACTCTCCAACTTCTGTGCACTCTTAGATAAATATTACAGAAGAATAAGACTCCATGGCCTAACAGAATATGTGACCATTATATAAAATGAAACTAGCTATACTGAATCTGTCAAAACTGTGATGAATGTTACTATGAGTTCTTAATGATTTCTTTTTTTGTTCTTTTTTCTTTTTTTTAATTTAATGTTATTTTATTTTACAATATAATTTAGTTCTATATATCAGCCACGGATTGCCTTGTTCTCCCCCCTCCTGCCCCCCTCCCCTTCCCCCCAGCCCACCCCCCATACCCGCCTCCTCCAGGGCAAAGCCTCCCCCAAGGACTGAGATCAACCTGGTAGACTCAGTCCAGGCAGGTCCAGTCCCCTCCTCCAAGGCTGAGCCAAGCAACCCTGCATAAGCCCCAGGTTTCAAACAGCCAACTCATGCAATGAGCACAGGACCCAGTCCCACTGCCTGGATGCCTCCCAAACAGATCAAGCCAATCAACTGTCTCACCCATTCAGAGGCCCTGATCCAGTTGGGGACCCCTCAGCCATTGGTTCATAGTTCATGTGTTTCCATTTGTTTGGCTACTTGTCCCTGTGCTTTATCCTTGGTCTCAACAATTCTTGCTCATATAAACCCTGCTCTTTCTCGCTAATTGGACTCCCGGAGCTCCACCCGGAGCCTAGCCGTGGATCTCTGCATCCAGTTCCCTCAGTCATTGGATGGGGTTTCTAGCATGACAATTAGGGTGTTTGGCCATCCCATCACCAGAGTAGGTCAGTTCTGGCTGTTGCTCGGCCATTGCCAACAGTCTATTGTGGGGGTATCTGTGGATTTCTGTGGGCCTCTCTAGCACTTTGCTTCTTCCTATTCTCATGTGGTCTTCATTTACCATGGTCTCCTATTCCTTGTTCTCCCTCTCTGTTGTTGATCCAGCTGGGATCTCCCGCTCCCCCAAGCTCTCTTTCCCTTGACCCTTGCCCTTCATTACCCCAACTCGTGTTCAGGCTGCTCATGTAGATCTCATCCATTTCTCTGTCATTGGGCGATCCCAATTTCTTGGGGTCCTGTTTTCCAGATAGCCTCAACACTGATCAAAGTTATCTAGAAATAGGTACATTTAAGGGGAATTTCACAATTTAAACTCTGAGGATATTTGGTAATATGATGGTTATGCTTTAAGCGTCACATTGTCATCCCTTTTTGTGAAGGGATATTTAGGTGTTCAGCACTGTGAAAAATAGCTAAGGAAAAAGAAATGATAGACCAGATGAAGCAGCTGCCAAGAATTTCAAATGGGATTGGATCGCATATCATGGGGCTCATTTCAGGAGGAGAATAACTCTCCTTCTCTTAACAACAGTTAATTGTGTGTAGCTTTTTAACTAATCTGCTTTTTAACTGATGGGGTCCTATGAGATTGCCTCCACACACATTATCTTGTCAACTTGTGTTGTCATTGTCCAAGTCATTTAGTCAATTGTACTGTTGAAAGTTCATGGCTGCAGGGTCCATGTCATTTATATAGGGCACAGGAGAAGTTGGTGTTGGGAAGAGGAAGGGGATGGAAAATTTATAAATACAGCAATCATGTATGATATTCTGAAAAGAAATGAGCATTGAAAACTTGCTAAAACTTAAAAAAATTAGATACAGAACTGTCTTTATGTGAAGGTATTAGTCTGATATAAAAGGAGAAAAAAACCAACAGAATTGAGATATTAACTGAAAAATGGGAAAAGAAACCAAACAAAACAGTTTTCATCTGAAAATGAAGAATACTGGTCCACCACCTTAAGTCTTTGTTAAAAACTATGTAATTAGTGCTGGATATATAATGTTATTTTTTATGAGTCCTTTTATTGAGCCAGCATAGGCTATGTTCATATCTATTTTCCAGTGTGCTGTGGGAGGCTATCCACTAAAATTTCCCAAGGTGCTTGCAGTGCCTTTTCAGTTCAGAGCACTACACATGCAAATGAGCCCTAGATTTTGATGGGGAAATCCCTCCAGTTGCCTTTATTTTACTAACAGGATGTGCACAAGAGCTAAAGGAAAAACAATTATTGAACAACTCTGTATTTTTTTTTTACCTTGGAAGCTTAGCAAGAGAGATTGATAGCTGAATTTATTAGACAAGATAAGCTGGAAAAACTAAATACTAAACTTGGAAGTTGGCCAATTACCTTATTGATTTTTAATGTGGGTGTTCTTAAATTTATAAATCCATAAAGAGGTTAGAAAACCTTTCGTATTCTCAATTGATATGAAGCTTTTGTTGTCACACATTTAAATATGAGTAAGATTAAACCTATGTAGGTGAAGTTAGAGGTAGTTCCTAACATACAGGTGGTTGCAACCCATCTTTGGTACTTTATAGAGAAAGATAATACAAAATAAACCCAATATCTGTATTAGTTGCCAGTTACAATTGCTCAAAGCATTATTTAGAGTGTACAAGCTAATGGAATGCCACTAGTAACTATGGTAAAAGCCAAGGAATTAGGAAAAGGAATCATGAAGAATATTGAGTAAAATGTTAGAGGTTAAACCTCATTTTAGAGCCTCCTCAAGAAGACATTTCCAATTTTGTAAACTCAGACAAGAAACAACTGTCAGTTGTGAATTTCCACCATTTATAAGACTAAATTTCTCTTTGAGATATTACACAAATTCTTGACAATTTTTTTGTGCTGTAGTCAAAATAAACAGCAGTCTTCCACACCCCTAAACTAGATGTTGAATCCTATGGAGATTAGGATATTGTAACATTAATAAAACTTCTACT